ACGAAACGTCTTGCTAAAGCACCGACATGGCTCACTGAATATGCCTTTGCCGACAAATATTTGGAATCATCTTAAAGATCTTGGTTTGATTCGACCATACAGAGGACTTCGTGGTGGATTGTATACAAAACGTACCTGTACGAATTATATTCCAACTATACATTCTCGAAGAAATTACTGTTTTAGATTCCCTGCAACTCAAACCAAAGTGATTAATCGAAGCAACCTATTAAATATTCAAATCGTAAATAGCTCAACAAAGCATGACTTTCCTACAATATTTCTAAGTAATACCCGATCTATGGTAAATAAAATTGATGATATATGTGGTGCAGTCTTAACGAATAAATGTGACATCGCAGTTATCACTGAAAGCTGGCTTTTATCACATATAACTGACAATTTAATCAGCATACCAGGTTTTTCAACAGTGCGCAAGGACAGAGCTTCGGAGCAACGAGGGGGAGGGCTATGTACTTACATCAACAAAGAACTAAATTTTATAGAATTAGACTATTTTTCTGATGTGCAAGTCGAAACACAATGGTTCTTACTCAAGCCATATATACTACCAAGGAATATTAACTCGATTATCATGGTCACAGTATACCACCCACCGCAAAATAATAACAACATTCTGCGAAACCATCTATTCCAATCCCTCGATATTGCCCTAACAAAATATCCAAATTCTGGTATTATTATCCTGGGCGACTTCAATCAATTTAAGCCGGGCAGTTTGTGCTCTTCATATAAATTGAAAAAACTTGTTTTAAGACCAACACGAGGAGCAAATATCTTAGATCAAATTTATTCCAACCTACATCGTAACTATTGTGAATCATTAATTCTCCCTCCTATCGGCAGTTCAGACCACTCATCTATAATATTAAAGCCAAAAGCATATTGTCCTACTACCCAACCCACTACCCGTATTCTTAGAAGAGATTGCAGATTGGCCAATAAACAAGCGCTGACGATGGAATTATCGCGAACCGACTGGTCTTGTGTTCAACATTATACGACGTGCAACGAGAAGTTAACTTGTTTTAATGCAATTCTATCTAAGGCGATAGACTCCCACCTTCCTATGCGCAGCATTAAGCTCCACCCATCTGATAAACCATGGATAAATACTAACATTAAAAAGCTTATCGCCAAACGACAACGAGCATGGTTAACTGGCCATCCCTCGGCATACTCCTTCTACCGCAACAAAACTACTAAATTATGCAGGCAAGCTAGACGCACATATTTTAACTCAAAGATATTAAATACTAAGGACAGCAACCCTAAGAAGTGGTGGAAAAACATCAAAGCTTTGTCTGGATTTGCAAAGCCACCCTTACCCTCCTGCCTGTATCATGATGGTGAATTCAAGCGAGGTGCAGATTTAGCAGATTTAATTGCTGAATCTTTCAGCAAAGTATCAGATGATATTCCAGCACTGAGTTTTACAAAGTTACCAATTACTACAATTCCTAATGAGTTCATTCTCTCACCACAACAAGTCGAGTACGAATTGTCCAATATAAAAGTACATAAATCTGTTGGTCCGGATGCAATACCAAACTGGCTCCTTAAGTTTTGCGCATCTTTTCTTAGCAGTCCTATTTGTTCTATATTCAATTCTTCCATTGCTCAAGGTGCTTTCCCTAACACCTGGAAATGTGCGGACGTCATACCAATCTCTAAAGTACCTAATCCCAAATCTGTAGATGATGACTTACGACCAATTTCTCTTACATCTGTCCTTAGTAAAATACTGGAACGTTTTATTTATCGTTGGCTCCTTTCCTCTATTTATCCGCACATCGATCCATATCAATATGGAAACATAAAGAACTGTTCGACAACTCACCAGCTCATTCATCTCATTCACCATTGGTTGGTTGAAACTGACAAACCTGGAAACCTAATTAGATCATGTATGATTGATTTCTCAAAAGCGTTCGATCGTATTGATCATAACATTCTTTTAATGAAACTAACAAATTTAGATGTGCCCCCATATTGATAAATTGGTGTGCCAATTTTTTGCAAGATCGTCAACTTCGTGTAAAACTTGGAGAAATAAGATCTAATTGGAAACAGATTAAGGCCGGCGTACCTCAAGGAACTATCCTTGGTCCCCTGTTTTTCCTAGTGATGATCAACGACCTCACCACTACCACCACCACACACCCATTGTATAAGTACGTTGATGATTGCAGTACATATGAAGTGGTTTCCCGGCCAGCTTGTAATTCTATCCTTCAACTAGATATTAGTACAATCTGTGATTGGAGCAATACTAACAATATGCGGTTGAATGCCAAGAAAACCAAAGAATTTCGTGTATCCTTTCTACAATCTGAACCTGAATTTGATCATCTGACAATAAACGGTAGTCCGCTTGAAGTTGTTGATAGTTTCAAACTCCTGGGTATCACTCTAAGCAGCGATCTGTCCTGGAACATTCACGTTTCAAACATATCTGCTAAAGCAAACAAGCGACTATATGCCCTACGAATCCTGAAACGCCATGGTGTTCCAGTAAAGAATCTAATCTCCATCTTCTGTTCATTCATTCGTCCAGTGCTTGAGTATGCATGTCAAGTTTGGCACTCTTCTCTGCCATTGATGTTATCAGATCAAATCGAACACATCCAAAAACGAGCTTTAAAGATTGTGTTCCCACACCATTCATATGCTGAAGCCCTTGATAAAGCAAAACTAAAAACACTTCAAGAACGAAGAGAAATTCAGTGTCTGTCCTTGTATCAATCTATTTTAAAAGATGACAATAAACTAAACAATCTTCTTCCAAGTCCTATTACACATAAGTATAGTTTAAGGAATCCAAGGAAATATCCTCTATTTAAATGTAGGACTGAACGTTTTAGAAATAGTTTTATTCCGTACTGTGTTGCAAAGTGGGATTCTCTGGGTAGTTAGTAAACTTACATGCGTGAAGATAGTATAGTATATAGTAAAGTATTATCATCGAGCATATTTTTTAAATAGTTGTATTTCAAATTACGTATTTTTAATCATATAGTATTATGTAATTTCAAGTTTTTCAGATTGCCAATCATTTGATAGCAACCTGCCATTTGAAAATCTCAATAAATTCAATTCAATTCACGCTAGTAAACTACCATAGAGCTAGTAAATGTTATATTAACATTTTCTGGGTACGCCAGTACGCTAGTACACCACCATAGAGCTAGTAAATGTTATATTAACATTTTCTGGGTACGCCGGTACGCTAGTACACCACCATAGAGCTAGTAAATGTTATATTGACATTCGCTGGGTACGCCGGTACGTTAGTACACCACCATAGAGCTAGTAAATGTTATATTAACATTCTCTGGGTACGCCGGTACATTAGTACACCACTATAGAGCTAGTAAACATTATATTAACATTCTCTGGGTACGCCGGTACACTAGTAAACCACCATAGAGCTAGTAAATGTTATATTAACATTCTCTGGGTACGCCGGTATGCTAGTACACCACCATAGAGCTAGTAAATGTTATATTAACATTCTCTGGGTACGCCGGTATGTTAGTACACCATCATAGAGCTAGTAAATGTTATATTAACATTCTCTGGGTACGCCGGTACGTTAGTACACCACCATAGAGCTAGTAAATGTTATATTAACATTCTCTGGGTACGCCGGTATGTTAGTACACCACCATAGAGCTAGTAAATGTTATATTAACATTCTCTGGATATGCCGGTATGTGTTAGTACACCACCATAGAGCTAGTAAACGTTATATACAGTAGTAGGCCATAAATATTCCAGATTTCCGAAATTGCGTTATAAGATATTTTTATATTTATGAGAATAACCAATCAATAAATTTATTGGATAATTGTGCCGATTATATAACAAACCCTATAAAACTCGGTACTCAGGTACGCGTACTGACAAAAAAAAAGAACCTTTTGTATATTTCAGGCATGGTATAATCAACTATCACCTAAGAGAAATCTCGAGCTCATGATCTAATTGTTAAATAATTACATGTAGGTATAGCAGCCTCATCTAGGAATAACTTATTGTTTATTTCAGGTCATTTTCAAAGCTTAAATTTGTTTTGAATATACCCAATCGTATTTCTAAATTTGGAATCTTGTGTGTGGAAATTGCACACCACTTTCGGAAGTTGCTTGCTACACTACCGAACTATTGAGCATAAACGAGCTCGAAGGTCTGTCTCGGGTAAAATGTTGCGGGTCGCGTACAGACTTTTTGAGAATTCACACATGGCAAGCAAGTGCATTAATTCAATACACTCATTTCAAACCACAATACATCTGAAACAAGTTGTCATTTTAAGACTAAATTTATGAAAATAGATATAACAGTGATTTTGGAATATCCTACTTATTTAAATGTGATTTTACGCCAAGTGTTCTTCCCAAAAAGGGAACATACGCACACAATAAGTTTAACCAGGTGTCGTTTGAAACAAACTTTAGCTAAAACAACAACTTGCACAAGAAGACCAACAATGGGGTCACGAAAACAGTGGACATTGTGCCTAAATTTGCATAAACAGTTTGTCTAAAAAGATAACTTTAAACTAGATTCAACCAACTTGCGGTCAAATTTTGTGAGTGTTTGATCGCGTATTTCTACTCAAACATACCCTTAAAAATATTGTATCTGCTCACTTGTATTCCGTGTTCATATTTCTTGTGATTTAGGACTTCTATTTTTAATAAAGTTTGGAGAAATCCCATCTTTTTGGCTGAAAATCTTGTGCATGGTTCACAAAAGAACGTGACCCAAAACGTTAATACATTCACTTTAATTTTGTGCCAAATTTTTGTTGTAGATCATTCAAAAACCTCTTCTTTTTTTGCTGTTAAAACTTGCTGTAAAATCCTTTTTTGCAACAGTATCGCCATTGTTCATTATTTTTGAAAAACTAAAATTTTAAACTTGAAAAACTTTGCGAGTTTCTGACCGATTTTCTTGCATGATGCATCGTTGAAAAGCTCGAATTTCACGTTGTACCATTGAAAAGCTCGAATTTTGCATTCTATTTTCGTATCTGTTGCTAGGCGACCCGATAAATGTGTGCTCAAATATCATGCCCGCAAGTTGAGGTGTCATTTGCAGGTGCATTGTGTCCCTTACCCACTTGCCAATCTCAGGGTTGCATCAGTATGGATATTTGGTTCAATATCATTGTTCATCTGGGTATTCCTGTTTTCAAGTTCAGTGCGTCAATTTGTCTTGGAGCTGGGGCTATCGAATCCAGGTCACTGCCATTGGCTGAGTTGCCTTCTGCATCAGCATTAGATACCAGTTGTGTTACGGCAAACGACAAAGTTGTGGTATTTTCAATTAATGTGTCATCATCTGTAACTTGAACGACGTCGTTTCTGAAGATAAATTTGAAAACAATTGAAATGATGTTTTGTCACCACAATGGAAATGTGTGATTTTCTATAGAGCAGTTATATTATTATTGATTCGATTATATATTCGTATTCGGTGATTCAAACGTTACCAGTTCAAATTATGTAATCATATGCATAGTAAACTATATTTATGTTATGTTGAAACATTCTATGAATTGATATTAACCTTTGACTTATAATTCCTGATCGGACATTCTCATCTCTCTCTTCAGTTTCATCTTCATCTGAAGAATTATAATGCTATAGGAATTGTTAAGTATATAACAAATATAAAACATTTTCCGTGTTGATATACAGTTATATCAACACGAGTGGAAATTGGGAAAACGAGAAATTGTGTGGAAACACGACGCCCGAAGGGCGGAGTGTTTTCACACAATTTCGAGTTTTCCCAACTTCCACGAGTGTTGATATAACTATATATCAATACGGAAAAAATGTTTTATATTTGTTTTATAATATAGCAATGTCAAAAGCACGAAGAATAAGAACAATTTCCGTGTTACAAGCGGCGGAAAATTTCCCGTGTTGACATGGAGTTATATCAACACGGCTCTTAGCCAATCAGCGTTCAGAATTTACAAATGCTATATTATAATGTAGTTTATTAAAAATACATGTTTGTAATTTTCATTCAATTTGCCTTAAGCCATACTGGAACAAGGGGTGATGCTGGGGGTTTCATAAATCCGCAATATTCTTTATATGAATAGGGCAATCATTGCCCGGCAATGCTGAGGGCAATGTACAATAAAGTGGAAATATTTCAACTATCAAAATCATTTGCCTTTAATAATTGCTTGACTGGCTATAATTATACTGCCATTGGATTGCACATAGGTAATAATACTAACGACTTACAATGTCATCGCATACATATTTAAAAGTGCCAAAGACAAAGTCACAATAACGGTGTACTATTTGTAATTGTAGACTAGCTGGCAATAATACAATTTGCCTAAAAATATCTGTCAATAGCAGATTCGTTCTGCACTTAAGCACCTCTAAAAAGAAACGCAGTTGTGTTTCGGTTATTTTCTCTATGGTTGCAAATGCACGCGATTTACCGTTACGTACGTACATGTAGTCGCTCATACGACTATGACAAGCCCCTAATGTAATGTGGGTATAATTCTTCAATACATGACTGTAAAGTTGTGTTCCCCCTGTTGTATAACACTTAGTGAAACCCACCTATAATAACAGATTGTGCATCAGTTGGATGCATAAACAACCAAAATGCATGGCAAACACAATCTGAGAAAAACACTATACTGTTTCAGGTTATCATATATTTACTATACAGTACACTCCAGCTAGATTCATCCATGTATACTCGCTTTCTGTGCCTGCATGGCAATGGAATTTGCAGAGGCAAGCAATAATTGATTTTCATCCATATCATATAACAAATAATCCGCATGCATAAGTTGCTTTATAAGGCGGTTTAGTTGGCATTAGCATATATTCACTAACATAATCTGATCTTGGATTTTGAGGAACGAACATTGCATAAATGAATTTGAGTCCGTTTTTCGTTCTTAGATGCAGGTTAACTATTCAGTTATCTTTCCACCTATACATTCATCACCTAGTTCCACAAATTTCTCGCTGTACAGGTAGAGCACTCGTTTTCTTTTGCGTCTTTCCTTTTGTTTTTAAGGCTACCAACAAACTTGAATGTGTTCTGGTGATGTTCACTCCTGCTATCTGAACTGAAGACTATTCCCGGATTGCTGCCTCGTCGCTCGATTATGAACTCTAAAACATTCTAACCTATGAACTGTCTATATGTATTGTAATGTTCCTGCATAAATTGCGAGGACAAGGTTTTACTGAGGTTTAACTAGTAGTTTATAACGCTCAGAAGCTTCTATAACCCAGTTTCAACAATGGCAAATTCAAAATATAACCTGACTTGGATACTTGCAGGAATAAAATGGTTATAAACACTTCATACTGGTTGTAGAAAAAGCAGCTAGTTCAAAATGCCAGCCTACTTGTAAACCCGCAGAGTAAAAGGGTAAGAACACTATGCTACTATTATATATAACCCTCGCTCCGACGTTATATTTTGCAGTCTTAGGTATGGTGCTGTTTACCATGATGCTGAATCTTCTTACACTTGTAAAGATAGAGCTATGTGGGGAGCTGCGGGTGGTCTTGGCCCTACCCAGGTTTTCCTGTACTGCAGGTTTTTTCCTGGCCTCCCTGATTACCCAGCCTTAGCATAAGTGTCAGCATCAAGTGAACAGCATTCTCTAGTGAACCTCGGGCCTTTTGACTTCGTTAAATTGACATAGCCGGACTTGGCCGCGTCGGCAATGAACTGAAATGGGTCTGCAATTAGTTCTTTCATATAAAAACAACAACAAAGTTCAAACATTTAATGAATCTGCCGAATATTGACATGCTAAACGCAAAGCAAAAAACAAATTTTTATTCTTTAACCACCCCTTTTTCACTTTATTGCCGACCCGGTCGACTCTGCGCTGCTTCCTGTGGCGGAAACGACAACCTATACTTCGTATAGATTGTCATTAATGGCAGGGAAGTGCTGTCCGATGGACAACACTTCACCACGTGAAGCGCAATCACTGCTCATTCAAGTCACACTGAAGACCTGAATGAGCAGTACTAGAGACTCGATGTGGTCAGTCAGGTTATCAGTTGCGGCCCTGGGTAATGTGCCCTATACAATACAATACAGGTTTATTCACAATGAAACTGAAGCATGCAATTACAGTGACAGAGGAAAAGGAAAGTTTGAGGTTATCCCTATATTAAACTTCCTTAAATAAAATAATTGTTAAAAATTACTAATTAAAATTACGGTTACAAATATATGAATAAATTAGATCTTTAAATAGTCCTTCAAGGCTTTTTTGAAGGCTGAAAAGTTATTAGCCTCTGAAACGTATTTTGGCAAAGCGTTCCACAAGCAGATAGTCCTTACAAAAAAGGAGTATTTGTAACAGTTCACTCTACTTGCCTTAACACATAGTTTATACGCGTGATTTGCTCTAGTTGACTTTACTCTAGACCATTCGAAAATGTCCGAGAAGTTTAGCTTGCATAGCCCAAAGACAATTTTGTAACATTCAAGTAATGATAAATAATCCCTCGGTAAGGAAAGTGTTGTCCACCCCAGGATCTGGCATCTTTCTTCGTACGACATCTCACCTCTCTTTTGACGCAAAGCAAGCCTGGATGCTCGTCTTTGTACTTTTTCAATTGCATGAATGTCCTTAACAAGATATGGGTTCCAAACAGGTGCAGCATATTCATGGATGGGTCTAACAAGAGCAATATATAACATTGAGAAAACCTTCGTGTTTGCTGTACCAACTGATCGTTTAATAGTTCCTAGAATTTTGTTTGCTTTATTAACTGTGATACAAACACGTTTACACCATGTTAGGTCACATGAAACAGTGACTCCAAGATCTTTAAAGCTTTCTGTATCTCTCAAGATTGATGTTCCTAAAGTATAACTCGATTTTAGCGTACCATTGGAGTGGGTTAACCGCATAGTTTCGCACTTTTCCATGTTAAATTTTAATTGCCATGTGTGTGCCCATTCATCGAGACTGTTTAAGTCGTTTTGCAAAATATGCGTGTCCAAGACAGGATCTTTTATTTCTCTATAAATTTTAGTGTCATCGGCATACAGTTTGGCTTTAGATAAAATACAGTCCGTTATATCATTAATGTATATTAAAAACAAAATTGGTCCAAGTATTGTACCTTGTGGAGTGCCTGAAGACACTGGTGACCATTCCGAAAAAGTCCCTCTAATTACAACACGTTGCTTCCTGCCTGTAATGAAATGCCTAAATCATGTCAATAAACTCCCTTTGATACCATAACTTCTTAACTTCAAAATCAATCTTTCATGCGGCACACTATCGAACGCCTTTGCGAGGTCAAGAAATATAACATCATTGGGCACGCCAGAGTTCCTAGATCTCACCCAATCATCAACAGTTGAGAGTAGTTGTGTTACTGTTGACTTGCCTTTCAAATAGGCAAACTGATTCTCACTCAAAATATTCATTCTATACCAGAAATCGAGAACTCTACTTCAAACAACTTTCTCCCCTATTTTGCATATAATCCCGGTACGAGATATCTGACGATAGTTTTCTCTACTATTCTTCGAACCTTTTTTAAAAATCGGTGTAATGTTGGCAGTTTTCCACTCTATAGGTAGCATGCCCATCGCGAATGGACATACCTTTAGAATACGTGCAGGGATATTGTCAGGTCCCGGGGACTTCTCTACCTTAAGATTTAGAAGTAGCTTCGTCAACAGAACAACGGATGTTCTCTAATCTCTCGTCCACTATATAGTCAAGCACTGGGATATTATCATAATTTTCAACTGTAAAAACAGAAGAAAAATACGAGTTGATGCTATCTGCAATACCTTGGTCGTCAGTGAAAACAGATTCTCCAACTTTCAGGGATATCAATTTGTTTGTTCCTTTACACTTAGATTTCACAGAGTTCCAAAATGGTTTGGGATTGTTGTTGTCTGTCAAATCTTGAGCTAAATCGGTTATATACCTCCACCGAGCTTCATTGTACTTCCTTTTCAAATTGTTATTCATTTGACGATAACGAATCCAGGTACTTTCATTTTGTCTCTGTTTTGCTTTTTTATAAAGTAGCTTCTTCTTCCTACATAGAGATATTAGCTCTTTATTAATCCATGGTGCATTTTGTCTTTTTTTCCCCTTTTGTTTTCGGGATGCATTCATCTACTGCTGCAAAAAACAAATCTTTCCATGAATTCCAATTCTCATCAATACTCTCTTCAAGAAATGCTAAGTTCCATGGAATTTGAGACAACGTTAATTTCAGTTGTAACCAATCAGCTTTTTTGTAACAATAAACATATTTTTTGGATTTAAGCTGGACATATGGTTGTCCAGTTAATAGAAACGTAATCATATTATGGTCTGAAAACTTTTCACTGACTGATAGGTTTTTTATGCTATCAGATGAAGTTGATAGAACAAGATCAAGTATATTATGTTCCCTCGTGGGTTCAGTAACCAACTGAGTTAGAAAATTGTCCTGAATGATATCCATTAATATTGAATAATTTTTAGAGTTACTTAAAGCAGTATTGTTCGACCATGAGAAATCAGGCAGGTTAAAATCCCCTAAAAGCACAAGATCAATTAGTGGTTCGGTGTTTGAATCCGGTGGCCTATAGAAAACTCCTAACGTAGTTCTCCGATTATTCGAAAATACAATCTCAACAAACATCAGCTCTGAGCTACAGTAAAGATCATCTCTGGGATAAACATTGATCGAGTTTAAATTGTTCACCAGTTCAACTAGGTCTCAATGTCGACGGCCTGACGGATCTGAACGGGGGTTCCCCTGTTATCTAGAGGTCTGCCTGTTCCTCTAGAACAACCTACAGTTTTTGCGTGTATCCTCAGCCAGCTTTGAGTACCCTGGGTAATGTGCCCTATACCAATAGTTGTTCACCAGTCCAACTAGGTCTCAACTCGCTGAATGACATGCACGGAGTCAAGCATGCCCTCTGCAGTCTAGAGATTCGCCTGTTTCTGTAGATAAAACTAGCGAGAGCCTCTAGACAGTTCGGCCGGAACTGTTTTCGAGCACTTCTCTGCCCAAAATATATGCCACAAAAATGTGCTAGGTACTATGCTATCGAGTTGTGTGTGTGTGTGTGCGCGTGCATGCATTAAACACTCAGGTCGACTAATTAGTAACAGGCCGTAAAACAAAGATGGCGGCTTTCTACAGAATGACGAGTATTCTATATTTTGCTCTGGCTATGTATACAAGTCAAAATTCTCTGACAAAAACTTTTTGTTATAACTTAGAAGATTGCCCAAAGTAACATCGTAAAGCTTTTAGGTTAGTAACCGTGCATGCTTTTTTAATAATAAGATCGATTGTCAATTCATAAATAATATATACTGACTACTCATCTATTTTTTCATATATGGTACATTTTATATACCATTATATAGGATTGCTTCATAAGCTGAGTTAAAGTTTATAATAAAATTTCTTTACAGATTGTATCTATTTTTTTCATTTAGCATACATTTATAAATGTGGGTACAGTATTTACCTCGGCAATTTTGTACCCATTTCATACATAACTCTTACTCTGTTTTTATTATAAACATTGGTGGCTTTCTGACACAGGGGTGCCACCAGAGCCTCGAAATTTGTGCATTATTCACAGGAATTGAAATTTATAACTACTTTTAAGCAATGTTTAAAGATTCGGTACAGTCTGTATGTAAACAAAGGATTTGTTTACATTTCGGTATCCAAGATATAGAATTTTACTCGACAACTATTTATATTTTCATGATTCTAGAGTATAATAAATCATCAAGACACAACAATCAAGCTTTGCAAGAACATAAAATGAAATAAAAACCTAAATAAACTGTTTGTATAATATAAAGAGGGCTCCTTTGTTCACATACACAGATCGGACCGTACAGCATCTTTAAGCAATCTTTGCTTAATTTTTAACCAGTTGTAGTAAAATTAATGTCACTCTGTTTACTGATTTTATTTTGTGCCTTTCGCACCGTGTAACGAATAGCTAAAAATCGATCAACATTTCAAAGTTTGCGATCCATAATAGCCAGAAGTAATCGAGTATCCATACAGTAAAGTTTTAACAAATATTGCTGCCCAGAAAAATTATGGCTGAGAAGCAAGTGCCCTTTTGAAATGGCTGCCCCTGCCGCTTCACATTGCTTCTGGCGCCCCTGTTCTGATAGTTGATTGTGGTAGAGTAGAGACTGCAATCTCAACATTCTTTGTCATATCATCAAATATTTACAAAGTGACTATAGTACTGCCGGCAGCCGGGTATTTAGTAAACTGCCGCTATATACTGACTATAGTTAAATATTTAAAAAAATTGCTCGCGCTAGCTTTTACCGAGCTTGCCATTAGAGTATACGGTATAGGAGCTGTGTGCGGAAAGTGAAACGCCAGTTAGGTTGTGTTTTGTCTGACAGCTTTTTTTTCATAGTCACTATATAGCCAGCAGTTTACTAAATAGCTGGCTGTATAGTAAATTATATAGTCAAATATAAATGTTTACTAATAATTGTGAATGAAATTTTTTTCATAGCAACTATGGAATTCCTTTGTGCAGATACATGTACGCCTAGTGTACCTATTTTTTAGCATTATTTTACAGGTAAAGCACCAAACATACTTTTTAAGTTTGTTTGCCGCTTGAGGAACATATTGAAAAATAAAAATTTCGAATTTAGTCATAACCTCAAGTGATATATTATACGCATTAGTTTTGAGTGTGTGTTATGTGACATATAAAAAATCTCCTCTTAATCATTTGGGAAAAAATAACACAATTAATACAGTATAAAGCATTTTCCCTGTATAATAATAATGTAAAGTTCATTTACCGCTTGTCAACTAACCGGTGTTCCTCTAAATGCCAAGGGTTGGTAGAAACATCTACAGCCTGTGCACTAGTTTATGCTGTACTGGCTGATACACTTGCAGCTTGTGAAGCATTATGCTGTGAATTTGATGATGCTTGACCATCCTGTGCTGTAATTACAGCAGGGATTGAAGGTTGGGCTTGGTCTGACCCTTGTCTGTTTTGATGTGGGTCTTGTTTCAATGAAGCATCTGTACTACCTGCATCAATGCATTGACTGTGTCCATATAGTTACTCTAAATAATAAAAACAGTTATTGTACTGGGGCCGGTTGTATAAAAACGTAGTTAGCGCTTAACTGCAGTTAAAAAGTGGTTAAAAAGCCTTAAAAAATAGTTAACTTTAATCACGTAGTTAAGCCGGTTGTATAAAAGTGTAGTTAGCCTTAACTGCAGTTAAAAAGTAGTTAAAGTTAACTATGCTTTAGGGTATAGTTAAATGTCCAAAACGTAGTTAAAAATGGTGTTTGTATAGGAGTGAACAACATTTTTCAGTAAAACAACAATGAAAAGCAACGTTACCTGAGATTTTAAATCGCTATCTTACTTGTGCATGTTTCCTGACAATATAAACTCTTCAAACGCTATCGCTTTGGTGTTTTTACGAAAACAGAACATATTTTTGCACAGGATGATTTCTCGAAGACGAAGTATGGTCCATTACACCAAGAAACACTGATATATAATTGCCAAACAGCTAGACCTTGGTTTAACGTAAACATCTCAAGGAAAAACTGCCTTCTTTTATGATTTTTGTGGCGGTTTTTCCTTGTTTTCTCAGTTTATTTTTCACTGTTTTCTAGTGTTTTGAATAAAATTCCCGCCTATTTGCAAAATGCGAGTCCACAACCCTGCTTACTTTATGTAATTTTGTGTTTAAACGCCCCACGCAAGGCCCACGCACAGTTAACTACGTGATTAGTTAACTATCCGACTAACTACGTTTTGTGCAACGCAGTTAAGTCATGTTGTCAACTAATTACAGTTAAGGATTTAACTACAGTGATTAACGCTAATTACAGTTAGCACTAACTACGTTTTTATACAACCGGCCCCTGTATTGTACTACAAAAGTCCTCCAAATCAGTTTTTTGCCACACTATCCTACAGTACAAACAATATGCATTTTCTATCAAATTCAATGATGACCATGTTCATATAGTCACCAGTATAGTACTACATTTTTGCTACATATAGTACTACTGTACATTTTAGCCTTCGCCATTGCTATGGATTGAACAATATGATAGTTTAGATAATACCTCAGTGTGTAATTCATGTGATTAGTGTATTGATTGAAACAATATAATTTGTAAATTTATTCTATAAAAGTGTATAAATAAGCCAAAATCACAGTCTTGAGAAGTTGTACGTCCCAATTTGGGACAGTGATAGAAAGTCATATGCAACTTGGAAAAATGAATTTAATAATTGCATGATTCCACAATCAATATTTTGAAATAAAGACGAAATACAATCTACGAAAAATAAGTATTATTTTACCTGACCGCGCGATGACTACATTTGCGCTCAGTAACTTCTCACACGACACCACTAACAGTGTCTTATCGGCATAAAAGTAAACTAAGTAAAACTTCGTCAAGTTTCTTGAAGACATTGCGTTCTTATTTCTATTTCTATAATATCTCTCAGAGCAGGCTCACCGACAGAGATCAAAACAGTAATGAGCCTAAGATGCTTCAGATCTCAGTATAAATCAGGCAGCATGTTTTTCACTGACATAATCTGTAATGCTCTTTTGTTTTCGATAATCCATACGAGACAATAAGTTCCTGTTATTGTGGTTGTGAAGATGGTGCATGAATACAGCTATCGGTTACTAAATGCAATCAACCGAAGCGAACTAACATTATTTATAGCCTAAGGCTATAATTATATAGATTGCTTTTGGCAGGGGCGGCAGAACAGATTTCATTTCGGGGGGGGCTAATTTTTTTTCGGTGACCTCCCCCTTCACCCCCCCCCCACCCCCTGTCGCCAAAAATTTCGGTCAGTGTACCACTTTAGAGGTACAAAAATTTTTCCTGACATATACAGGAAAAGGGACGAAATAATTTTTTCAGACCTATAACTAAAAATTTTTCTGGACATACCACTATTTTTAAACAAAATATAGCAAATTTTTCCCCTTATACCTAATTTTTCCTTAATTATCAAAATTTTTCCAGAAAAACCCCAGAATTTTCTGCCCCCCCCACTTTTATTTCTGGGGGGGGCTTTAGCCCCCCTAGCCCCACTGTTCCGTCGCCCCTGGCTT